CAGCCTATTAGTTTGCTGGATCACATTTTCATGTTTCGAAAAAATATTTTTATTTACAACTTATTTTCAGGTTGCCCTCATTTTTTGGTTGTGATGTTCTATAAAATAGTTGATTTGTATTTTGGATATCCTATAAAATTACTTATTATCTGTAACTGATGCCATTGCCACATAGATTGTTAACCTCACCAAATTCTTTTTTTTTTTGGTCTCAGGTTCAAGTGAGTTATCCTCTTCCTCGGTGACTCTCATAAGTGGGTTTCTTGCGGTCATATCAGTGAACGTTGTCATCGTAATATACATAGTCTTGGCCATGAAAGAGCCTGCAAATCTCCAGCACCAGCCAGACCCATCCTTCTTAGCTGCTGCGAAGGCCAGCATTAACCAACCGATGTCTTCAGCAAGCAACAGCGAGGATGCTGTAATTCGTCAGAAAACAGACTGATGAGCATTCTGATGCTTCTTCTTTTTTTAATGTAAAATTGGGAACTTTAAGATGAAGGGTCTGTTTGATATGGCAATTAATGCAACAATAAGGTTGTATTTGGGGCAGTTTTTTATTGCTTTCTAAACAATTTTTTGAACTAAAAATTTGTATTAGAAAAATGCATTTAAAAGTAGTAAGAAAGTTGTCCCATTAGGTTTCGTTTGGGACGATTTTTTTACTGCTTCTTAAAGCAATTTTTTAGTGGGGATAGCGATGCCCTAGCGTTGATGTCATACCCCAGAATCTAAATTGGAAAGAACTGTATCTTTTATCTTTTAATAATAACAACCATATTTATCTAATTTCTTATAATAATAAAATACTAATGTAAACAAATCTATTGATCAAAACATCAATATACATCTGTATTCATTTTCCCAAAAATCATATACAATAGTTAGAGTTTATACAATTACAATACACTATATGCTCATTCCTGACTATATAAGGATAACAAAAGACTACAAGGCAAAATGATATCAGTCTTATACTCCCAAATCTCTTCTGTGACATGAAATTAGTAACTTATAATAAGGTTAAAAGTTTAGTTGGTCATCAACATCTTACTATAAAATTAAAGCACAAAAAAGAAACAATATGCATGTACTCATTCAGTTCATAACTATAGCAATCAATATAATTCATTCAATACACTTGTCACAATTTTGTAAACGTAATAATAAATAGTTATTATTCAATCACATGTCCATATTTGTTCACAATGATTGCATTAACAACATAATTGTATTAAAATGCCAAAATTACTATTCCTATTCAAACTATAAAGAATGCAATAATTTTTATTTTAATTGATGAAAATACGAAACAAACCAATCAAAATGACAAGAATAATCAATGCTATATTATATCAAAATTTGTGCGGTGAAAGTTCATTAAATTAGGAGAAAATATAATAAAAATTAATTTGGGAGAAATTAAATGGTAAAAATCAAAATCCTTGAAAACATATATATGATAGAAGTGACCTACTACGATATGAAGAGATCTCATAAAAATGGTGGAACTGATCGGAAGCTAAATGCCTAATTTCTCTTTCTTTCCTCTCTTCTCCTTTCCTTCTCCACTTTTTCCTTTCCTTCCATGGCAAGCCAATGAGTGAGGAAAACAGTGGAGCGGATGACGTTCTAATATATATAAAAACTCATTTTAATGCTTGGCATTATGGCGCTGCATGTCATTCTAGAGTTACTATCAAATATATAGTTATAGCGCTGAGGTGCCACTCTTTAACGCTTTTCAATGCCGCTAAACCCAAAAACACAACACTATAACACTCCAATAGGCTACTTTTAGAAATTTTAGAA